GTGTTTCTAGAAATTTATCCATTTCCTCTAGGTTTTCAAATTTGTTGGAGTATAGTTTTTCATAATATTCTGTTATAATCCTTTTTATTTCATTTGGGTCTTTTGTAATGTCCCCCATTTCATTTCTTATCTGGGTTATTTGTGTCCTCTTCTGTTTTTCTTTTGTCAATACTAAGCATTTTTGATACTATCCTAAGACTCTTGTGAAGGAGGGTAGTGACATGATCAGATTTACATTTTTAAAATGATGTTTTTTCCCAAGGCACAACAATTGGTCTTTGTTTTCCTGGAGCAACAGAGGAAGGAGAGTCAGGAATAAGAGGAAGAAATGGAATGTGTGGCTCATTGCCTCAATGAATGACTGTCTCTTTTGCCATGAGACCAGAACTGGATGGTACCCGGCTACCATTACTGAACATTTTGATTAAAGATTCTATAAAACAATCCTGATCAAAAGGGAGAAAATACAGAACAGAATTTCAAATTCTCATGGATTCTAGACTTTCTGGAGTCATGGAGGCTGGATGAACTCCTAAAACTGTTGCCCTAAGATAACCTTTAAACCTTAAACCAGAAATATCCCCTGAAGTTTTCTTAAAACCAAACAGTAGTTTAGCTTATCTAGTAAAGAATGTCTGCCTTGAGCATTATGATCTTTTTTTTTTTCCCTAGGAGTTTGAACTTCTATTTTATTTTATTGTACTTTAGATGAAAGTTTACGGAACAAATAATTTCTCATTAAACATTCAGTACACATATTGTTTTATGACATTGGTTAACAACCCCACGACATGTCAACACTCTCCTTTCTCCACCTTTTTTTTTTTTTGGTGAAAATATACATAGCCAAAGTTACACCATTTCAAAAGTTTCTACATGTACAATTCATTGACATCGGTTACATTCTTCCAGTTGTGCTGCTATTCTTACTGTCCTTTTCCAAATTATTCCATCACCATTATCTTCAGCTCACTGCCCCCAGGCTTCCTATCAAACCTTTTGAGTTGGTGTTATCAATTTGATCTCATATAGATAATTGTTTTTTTTTTGGACCTTAGATGAAGGTTTGCAGAACAAATAGTTTCTCATTAACCAGTTAGTACACATATTGCCCTATGAAAATCGTTAACAACCCCATGACATGTCAACACTGTCCCTTCTCAACCTTGGTTGCCTATCACCAGCTTTCTTTGTCCCCTCCTGCCTTCTAGTCCTTGTCCCTGGACTGCTGTGCCTCATTAGTCCCATGTTTGTTTTATGGGGCTGTGAGCATTATGATCTTTTAAGATCTACCTGTATGGGATCAAATTGACAACAACAGCTCGAAAGTTTAGATAGGAGATGTTAATGGAGGAGGAACATTACAGCAAAGGAGGGTGAGAAATGATTGCACAACTGGAAGAATGTAGTCATTGTCAATTGTACATGTAGAAACTTGAATTGCTGTATGTTTTTGCTGTGTATATTTTGTATAACAACAACAAAATATTTAAAAAATATTTTAAATATTAAAAAAAATTTTAAATATTAAAAAAATAAAGTTAAGGCTCTAAAAGCAAAGTACATGGCATACAAATTCTATTTTTAAAATTATTCATGGTGTGACCTTTAATTATTTTAATCTCAGTAAGCCCTAGTTTTTCTGTCAGTAAAATGCAGTTGATAAATGAGATGATCCGTGGAAAATTCTTTGTGTAGTGCATGATCTATAGTGCTGAATTAATGTTAACTTTTGATATTATATTTTTAGTTACGTATTATAATTATGCTATCCTAAACCATTCATATTTTATAAGTAAATTTTCTGTACTTTATTTTAAGGAATAAAATAAATGGTACTTAAAAAAAGTAAAAAATACGTTTTTAAAGAAGGTTGCTAGGTCACTTAAATTTTCAAAGCATTTTTAATTTTTGCAAGATCAAACTGACACATGTAGATTTTTCTCTGTGTGTTTTTAATAACAGCTTTATTGCGATATAAGTCACATAACATGAAGTTCAGTTTTTTTTTAAAGTGTACAATTCAGTTGTTTTTCGTATATTTGCAGAGTTGTACAGCCATCACCACTTTTTACTTTCAGAACATTTCATCACCCCAAAAAGAAACCCCATTCCCATTAGCAGTCACTCCCTATTCTCTCTTCCCCTGGCAACCACTAATCTGCTTTTCTGTCTCTCTGGATTTGTCTGTTCTTGATATTTCGTATAAATGGAGTCATACAGTATGTGCCCTGTTGTGAATGACTTAGCATTATGTTTTCAAGGTTCATCCATGTTACAGCATATATCTGTGCTTTTCCTTTTTATGGCTGAATAATATTCTGTTGCATGGATATAGCACGTTTTGTTTAGCCATTCATCAGTTGATGGACACTTGGGTTGTTTCTACTTTTTGGTGATTATGAATAATGCTACTGTGCAGTTGACATTGTATCATGCAAATGGTCAGGAAGGCCATGAATTTCAACCTTTATCTTTAAAGAAAAGGGCTTTGCTCCTTTTTATTCTGTAGCACATTCTATTCAGTAAGCAGTTTCTTTTCTAAAAGACTTTCGTGTGGCAGTAAAGGTTCAACCGCGTGTGTTAATGCTGATGAATTGAGAGAAATGCTGTTAAAAACTTGAGTCTTCCTCTTGGTACTTGAAAGCAATATTTGTACTTAATGGTGCCAATTCTTGCTTAGTTCTGGATGTCAGAGTCCATTGTTGTTCTAGTTGTACATTTGCAAGTGGATGCCGTGGAATTCTTAGCTGCTCCTTTGCACTTGACTGGCTTCTTGTCCACATTAATAGAATGTACCTGGTCGTCTGTTACTAAGGTGGTGGCTTTCATCTTGAGTGGTCACATCAGAGAATAAAAAATAAGTAAAAGAGTGGCCTCAGTATTGCAGTTCAGAATGTGTACTGGTAGGTCACAAGTCTAATAAAAATTGGTTTATGACCTGCACTGGGGTGTAACTTCAGGCACAGTAAGTATTAAGAATCAGTGAATGATTAAGCAAGAACATTTTCAGACCAAGGAAGAAAATATAGGCAGAGAATGCAAGAAACTTCACAGTTTGACACATGGGGTGGGAAAAATAAAAATAGTTTTATGTAAGTCCAGATAGTTTGGTAACAGTGTTTAAATGGTAAATTAGTACAAATCAGTCAACAACTGAAAATGTTTGGTTTATCCAGTTTAAGGTGCAAGGTTTGTAAAAAGAGTAGTTAATTTGAAATTTGAATATGCCTGTTTGTATTGGTTTATCACTGGTTCCTTTTAATGTTGGTGTCAGGAATGTTACCCAATATTTCATTTAACAAGTTTAGCAAGTGTAGAGTGACGGTAAAATTGGTCCACCAATTGTGCAAGCAGTTACGGGACACTTTACTGCTGATAAAAAGTCATATTTGTCAGAGGAAGTAATTTGCTTTTGCCCAGTAAACTCCTTATTGGGAAAAATTAGTTTTGTCTTAGGAGATAATGGATCTGCTCTACGGTAATTAGTCTGCAGTTTCATCACTGTACTTGATAGACTTACTCTGTTATTTATCAGGCCATGTTAGGGGAATCTCATTGCAATTATTATTATAAAATAATCATAGGATTCTCACTGGGTGCCTGACACCATATTGAGGACTTAGCCACATTATCTTGTTTAATCCTCACAATACCCTACCAAAGGAGATAGACACTGGTGACATGTGTAGTCTACAAATCAATGAAGAGAGGCTCAGAGATTAACTGACTTGTCCAGGGTCAACAGGGATGGCAGAGCCAAGACTTGTTCCCAGGGCTGGCTGATGCACCATTGCAATCTACTTCTCCCTTCTCTGGTATTCTGACTCTAAAGGAACATGGAAAACGTTGTATTAGGGAAGATTAAATTCCGTCTGCAGTTAAAATTCTTGAATTTTGTTATAAAAAGTGTGTTCTGGTTAGAGCCCGTTACTGGTTCTTAGCATGTTATTACTTGGCTTTTCATTAGTTGCTGTGTGCCTTTAAGGAACGTCTTAATCTGTCTCGAGCACATTTTGCCCACCTGTAGCAATGTCATAAGGAGCCCTGGTGGCTCAGCGGTTAAGCTCTCAGCTGCTAACTGAAAGGTTGTCGGTTTGAACCTGCCAGCCATACCACAGGAGATAGATGGGGTAATGTGCTTCCGTAAAGATTTACAGCCTTTGGAAAACCTGTGGGGCAGTTCTGCTCTGTCTTATAGGGTCGCTATGAGTCGGAATCCACTGACGGCAATGGGTTTGGTAACAATGTCATATAACCTGTTTGTGAAGCATACTTTGAGGTTTCGAGAGGTCTTTATATAGTTTGTACAAAGAAAGGCAGCTCAATCTGGTCAGTGGAGTTAAATTTTGCTGCTTACCCTGCCACTGTTTGGTGGTTTTCAGTTAAATCATTGGATTATGTGGCTATTCTCTTATTTAAAAACAAGGCTAATAAATAATACTAGCTACTTGCTTTCTGATGTTGAATCTCAGAGGCCAACAGAATTTTTCTGTATCTTAGAGTGAGGTGGGGCCCGGAGTCAGAGCACATGGGTTAATGGCCCAGCAATACTAAGCCTCGTGATCCTGCAGTTCTCAGTCCTCTTCCCTCTCCTTCCCGAGGATACTTGACTCACCTACCCTGAGGGTTGTTAGGAGAATTAGAGGAAAAATCATCTACGAAGATGTGTGAGTATAAGAGATGATTATATACAGAACAAAGTGCCATGTGATTATAATATTTGGAAATCTTAGATTTGATTTAGTCTTCCGTTTGGTTTTTTGCTTGCTTGTTTTTGGCTTTCTTAGATGACACTTCAGTTGTGTGTTTTCATTTTTCTTGTTTTCTTTTTTTAGTGGTATGCGTGCAACAGAGAGAAATTATGTGAATCACTCCAGGCTGTCTTTGTCCAGAGTTACCTCAATCACGGAACACAGATCTTCTTAAACAACAGCATTGAGAAATCGGGCTGGCTATTTATCCAGTTATATCATTCCTTTGTGTCATCTGTTTTTAGCCTGTTTATGTCTAGAACATCTATCAATGGGTAAGTGAATCTCGGATATTGTTTTTTCTTTCTCCTTAGATTAAAAAAAATGAGAAATGAAAAAGAAAAGTTATCTTGTTCAAGATATTGACCACCTCAGCTACAACAGAATCCTAGGCTGGTGATGGCAGCCGGTGACCTGCCTTTAGACTTTTTACATCACAATAAATTGAAAAACAGCCTCATTAGTCTGTATTTCCGTGGCAGTAGTCACTTAGGGCAGTGCTTCCCAGACTTTGATGCGCACAAGAAATCACCTGGGGATGTTGTTAAAATGCAGGTTCTGATTTGGTGGGGTAGGGGGTGACCCAGACAGAGTCTGTGTTTCCAGCACACTCCTTAGTGATGCTAAAGCTGCTGGTCCCTGACCCCACTGAGAAGCAAGATGCTTGGAACCAAGCTCTCAGCATAGTTAGGCTGAAGACTAAGGTCTCCTTTGCCTTAAGCATACTTCCCAGGAGCAAGTTTTTTTTTTTTTTTGGGGGGGTGAGGGGATCTAATTAATCAGCCCAACAGTGGGTGATGGCTTGTTTGGAGTGAAGGGTCCTGCATCCATTTTTACATAAATCTAGACTCACCAGAATTTTGTAAATTTATTATTGCGGAATCTCTGTCCCTAGAGTAGTTTCCCCACGTGAATCTGTAAGAAAAGCTTTAGGAGTATTTTCTATCCTTCTTGGCTAAATTTTCAAACACCCCCAAGTCTTAGAATCCAGAAAGCTGGATTAAAAAGCAGTAACACCCAGTGCCTAAGAGTCCTTGTTAGACCACTTAAAGCCACTGGTTGGACCTACTTTTCCACTTTTTTTTTCCCCTTAAGGTTTGGAGCCAGCTTCTATTGAATGTCTGGATTCCCAGTATATCATCTGGTCCTTAAATATGTTTTCAGGTACCACGAGCCATTCCTCAAGATTTCTTACTTGCTTTTCTTCATTATTGATATGAAATTGCGTTAAGTTCACTTCATCAGACAGTTGTTGTTTTTGTATTGGTAGTTGTGTTTATACAACTTGGTCTGCCATTTTGTTTCTAAAATGGGCTACACTGAATTTCTGTTCTTTACTGTTTATGCTTTCTTTGGAAAGCAGATGAGTCACCATAGTTATTATTCTTAACCTTTTTGGGATCCTGTACCTATTTGAGGAGTCCCTAGGTGGTGCAAACGGTTAATGTGCTGGGCTGCTAACCAGAAGGTTGGCAGTTTGAAGCCACCCAGAGGCATCTTGGAAGAAAGACCTGGTGATCTCCTTCTGAAAAAAAATCAGTCATTGAAAACCTTAAGGAGCACAGTTCTACTCTGACACACTTGGGATCGCCATGAGTCGGAATCAATTCAGTGGCAACTGGTATTGTTATCTATTCGGAAGTGATAAAAAATAGGAATCCTCTCTTCAAAGAGTACTTAACATTCAACATTTCACATATAATTTTGGGGCTTTCAGTCTATGACCTGCTTTCCTCCACCTCTATCCCGTTGGACCTGGTTAAAATTTCCTGCCCTGGGATTTCATAGTTCAGTGAAAGACAGGCAGTGCAATTGCTTTTTGACTTCCCTTATCTACAGCTCTGCTGCTTTTTTTTTCTTTTTAAGCCCCCTAAACAAATAAACAAAAACAAAACCCACTGCTGTGGAGTTGTAGGCCCCTCCCCAAAACCCACTTTTTGCCGAGTCCTTTTTCTCAGCTGAAAACTTAGTTTTGAATACTTACCCATCGATGGCAATGGTAGATTACCAGGACTGGTTGTCTCTTAGAGAGATAATTACTATGGGACCTTTTTGAATTAAGATACTTACCATACTTCCTTTATATTGCAAAGGGGAAGGCCAAGTAAGGAGAGATTTGATAGCTGTTTTTGGAGTTTATTTTATAAGGAAGAGGCAGGCCCCCTCTCTAGTCTGCCCCCTATAAACTCTAGATCTATAGAGAACTTAGATTGTGGCCAGAAAACCTAGGGTGGTTGTTCAGCACTGAAAAAAACATACAGACATCACAAACTTCGAGGGCTGACGACAAGTGATAGAGCCATACCTCTCCATTGTATTTGTTTACTTGAAACCTTGTCTTGGAATAAGTCCATGTCTTGGTATGTTGGGTGGGCAATTCTTCATTATGTGGGGCTGCCCCAGACATTGCAGGAAGTTTAATTTTTTGGCCTTGCTAACTAGATGCCAGTAGCAACTCCCTTGTCATTGTGACTGTCCAAAACTCTTCCATCCACTCCTAATGCCCTCTAGAGGGCAAAACTGGACCTGGCTGAGAAACACTGGGCTTGATGAATTTTGATTTATTTTTTGATGGTTTTAATCTTTCTGTTGAGCCTCTGTTGCTTGTGATCTTTGAATATAGGACAGTGCTTCTCTCGGCTGCCTTTAAATGTTGACCAGTTAGATGGCCTCATAAGCACTAGCCTTAGATGACCTCCAGCCCTTGAATTTTCTGATGACCACGTCAAGGTTCCTCACATCCCAAAAGACGGCTAAGGAAGCATATTATTTCATAGCTGAGAAAGTGTGAGCAAAATAACAGTTTCGTAGCTTACTCTTGGTCCTGTGGCCAGCCAGCATCCATGTTGGAAACATGCATCCCACAAACCATGCTGCCTCTAACCTCTTCCAACTCTTACTCCCGTGTAGCTATTTCAGTAAGTTGTCCTTTTTTTCCTCAGATTTGCTTTCTTTGGGTTATTTTGCCTGTAGATGGAATGAACACTTGAAGATTAGAAACAACTTTTCTTTTATGAGCTGTGGTTTTCTCTCGTAAGCAGTTGGAGAGGATAGCATCATGTTTATCAGTCTCTGGATTCTTCTCCCCTACCACCCTCCTCCTCAGTTTTCAGCATTTCTGGAGATGGAAGATTTACTATAAATGTGTTATTAGACTTCGTTAAACTCTCCTATGGCCTTCATAGGAAAAGGGCAGGGAGAGGTTGTTAAAACAATCAGAGCTCCTCATGAACTCCATTATCACTCCCCCAGTCTGCTTTTACTGAGAGTACCATGTTGCCTGTATCTTCCTAGTCACTATGTAGCAAACCTGTTGTACCTTATGGTTCTTTCCAGAAAATAACAATACAGTATGTATTTCCCTCCTGCTTCCTAGGACGGTGGTTTTCAAACTGTCTTCCATAGTCTAAGTCAGTGCCTTAGAAGTTGCTTCGGCTGCAAAGAAAGGCCTAGACGTGGGCTGGCAGAGGCTGCAGGGCCCTCAACCACATTTCAAAAGATGAAAAAAAAAAAACCAAACCCATTGTTGTCGAGTTGATTCCAACTCACAGCGACCCTATTTGACAAAGCAGAACTGCCCCATAGGGTTTCCAAGGAGCGCCTGGTGGATTTGAACTGCTGACCTTTTGGTTAGCAGCCATAGCACTTAACCACTGTGCCTCCAGGGTTTCCTTCAGAAGACCAGCTCCCTTTTTATCATTGCATTTAAAGAAGGGCTCTGCTGCCTAAAAGGAGTTTGAGAATCCCCGCCCTAAACAAATTAGGTTTTGCGAGCTAGAAAGCAAATCCTAAATAGGAAGTGTATTTTATTTCCCCAGATGATGCTTCCATGAGACTTGGTCTGAGTGATAGGTGCTTTCCTGAGGGTTCTTTTCATCTCCATTTTAATTCCCCTCCATCTCTTTTTTCAAAGGTGTTACTATGGTTTTGATAGTTTTTTAGGATCTTTAGAACTAATAGGACCCAGCCAAATGTATAACATATAGACTATGACAAATTATGCTAAGTATGAATTATACAAGTATGAATCTGCTTCTTCAGTGTAAATTAGTTGATGCCACAAGGACCACTGTGCCTCTTTTTTCTGGTTTCTCTTAAAAATCGAATACTATTTTTCTCACCCATTGTTTAGCTTTATATTCCAAATGGATTGTTTTTCCTGTGTCGTTTTCTGCCTAGTGTTGTGGCCTGCTTCTGTCAGCCAGTCTGTCATCTTTTTTTACTGATGCATGTTTTCTATTACTCCTTCCACCTTTCCTTTCTATTTTGACTTAAAGTCTTCACCTTCACATTCATCTTTTAATTTCTTAGCCATTTTGTCCTCCTTTCCCTTCCCTTCTCCTCTCATCCTTTTTCTCTTTACATCTTTTATTCCCCTCCTTCCACCACCCCTTTTTGTTTGTTATTTGCCACCCCAAAGACAATGATATCTGGAAGTATTTTCCTATATTACTAATTTTGCTTTTTCATCATCAGTAAAAATGTTGTCAATTCAAAAGGCTGTTGGTGCCGAGTCACTATACACTTTGTGTTTGTGTGTGTGTGTAGGTTAATTTATATAGACTCTTCCATTTTTATCTTTTTTTTGTTTCCTAGGTTGCTAGGAAGAGGATCAATGTTTGTGTTTTCACCAGATCAATTTCAGAGACTGCTTAAAATTAATCCAGACTGGAAAACCCATAGACTTCTTGATTTAGGTGCTGGAGATGGAGAAGTCACGAAAATCATGAGCCCTCATTTTGAAGAAATTTATGCCACTGAGCTATCTGAAACTATGATCTGGCAGCTTCAGAAAAAAAAATACAGGTAGAATTTTTAGACATGGTTTGGGGTACGTTTCTTGGTTTTAGATGTGTTTCTTCTTTAAAGTATGTGAATCACTTCCATGATTAGGAATTAAAGAAAATCTTTCCATATCAAATTTAAGTGGAAATTTAGAGGGAAATAATCTTTCCTTGGCAAGATTTTTCTGGAGTAGAGGTGTTGACACTGTCAGGAGGAAAAGGACTAGTGAGAGAGCTTGGCAAAGGGAGATCAGGGAGACTCGGTCCCTAATCACAATCTGGCATTCTTCAGTCTTGGTTTTAAGACCCTATGGTGCTTGAGAGACTTAGGAAAAAGACTTCTTTATTCAGTATGGATTCTACTGAATGGGAGAAGAAGGTGCTGAGTATAGACTGCGGAAGCGGGGCTGGAGTCTGCCTCCTCCTCTATAATTTGGAAGCCCAGCCTAGCCTTAGAGAGAAGGGAGAAAAAATTATACAGTCACTCAACTTTTCTATCCACAGACATTTCACCTTATACAGACTAACCCTTTGGAGCAGAACTGGATTAAGCGTTGACAAAACATGGAAATTTTTAGCCTGGAGAAGGGAAGACCAAGTGGGAGGTGGGAGGTGGGTGGAAGGAAAGATTACTGTAAACAGATATTTGATGGGATTTTATATGGAAGGAAGGAATAGGTGTAGTCTCTGGTATAATCAAGCACAGGTAGGTCCCAGAAGCTGAGTTACAGGTAAGGGAGGTTGGTCCTCCTCACAGCTTGAGCCATCCAGCTCCTTGTCACTGTCTGTGTTTAAGCAGCTGTTAAGGATGTTGCAGGAGAAGACTTAAACTTATATTGGTGTGAGGTTGAACTGCATGATTCATAAGGTCCCACTTAGCTCCAGTACTCTGTCTCAGATTAGATCTTGGTGAGTAAATGTATTCCTTTGATTAGAAATTAATTCACCATTTGAAAACTTGGAATGCTTTGACTTTTGTTATAACAGTGTCTCTAAACCATGCAATTCTAAACTCTGACTCTTTTGAAATGGGTCTGGGGAGGAAGGTATTGGGGCCATGTCTTCAAATGACTCCCTCCACACCCCCCTCCTTTCATTGTTTGCTAGTATAGCCCTTCTTGAGACTATGCCTAAATGGAATTCTCAGTGACACTCCAGATGTTTGAATTTGTAATTTAAATATATCTAGAGTTTACATAATAAGTAACCTAGTAAATTTATCTACCATATGAAAATGTGTAGTTTCATTTTTTTCTAATATTTAGCACAGATAGGATATATACCACATTTTTTTTTGCGATTTGACTTAGATGGAAAATTTATACTGGTGACACTTCTTCCATTAGCATGAAGTAAAAACTTATTCACAAAAGTGGCAAATTTTGTTACTGTTGGTATGGTTTGAGATTTTAATAAGGAAGTATCTTATTAATGAACCCTAGTGGTGCAGTGGTGGCTCCGTGGAAGAAAGACCACTGATTTGCTTCCGTAAAGATTACAGCCTGGAAAACCCTATGGCGCATTTCTGCTCTGTCACATGCTGTTGCCACGAGTTGAAAACCACTTTTAACAGTACACAACTTCTTTATTGTTGAGATTCAGGGTTGGCAGCCGGGTACACTGTCAGCTTAATTCCACTTTTTTTTTGCTTCTTTTTTGGAGGTAGCTGTTTTGTGTTTCTTCTCAATATCTGGATCTGTGAGAAACTGGCTCTCGATGTCATAAGTAGTTGACTGAACAGAAAATGACCAGATTTTTCTTCTGTATTGTGAAGACATCATTGACGCCAGAAAACCCTATTGTAAAATTTAAGTATATGGCTTTGATTTTTAAAACAACACAGTAACTTTTCTTCATATTTTTGACACTTTGTTTTTTATTCAGGATTTAGGAAAATAATGATCGCTTTGTCATTTCTCTAAGAAAAATATGTTTTAAATTCTACTGGGAAGGAGGCTACTACTTAATATATTTTCTTGAATACCCCTGCTTTTTGGGTTAGAAATACTGTTTTTGGAAAAGCCATAGATACAGGAAGGGGTTATACAATTCAAGATTTTTGTACTAATGAACAATTCCACAATTCAAATGCCAATATAATTAAAAAAAAAAAACACTCTGTTTTGGGCAGAAAAAAATTCGGCAGCACGTTTGCCATCCTTAGTCTGCTTACTGTTAATTTTAATGTTAGAATTTGTTTACATTATCTAAGTGGTGATTGGTAATGGTGGAAGAAACAAAAGTGCTGGCATGATGCTGAATGTAAGTGGGAATGAGTTTGGAATTAAATTCCCACAGACAGATTACATACAAATAATCAAAAAGAATAGTGTGTATATATTTTGATACCAGAGAATAAAAATCTTTAATGTACTTTTGAAAGAACCTTATCCATTACCTATATAGATTTGAGGAGCCCTGATGGCATAGTGCTTAAGAGCTTGGCTGCTAACCAAAAGGTCGGCAGTTTGAATCTACCAGCTGTTCCTTGGAAACCCCGTGGGGCAATTCTGTTCTGTCCTGTAAGGTCGCTGTAAGTAGGAATCAACTTGACAGCACCTAACAACAACAGCAACATAAGTCTGGGATTTTTCTTTAAAGAAAATAAAATATTATAGTTAAGAATTCTATTTCTCATGTTAATATCCTTTTCATTTTTTTTTTTGTCTTTTTAAAAAAATAAAATTTCTACATATACAGTTCAGTGATATCGATTACATTCTTCAAGTTGTGCAACCATTCTCACCTTCCTTTGCTGAAATATTCTTCCCTTATTAACATAAACTCACTACCCTCTAAGTTTCCTATCTAATCTTTCAAGTTGCTGTTGTCAGTTTGATCCCATATAGATAGTTCTTAAAAGAACACAATGCTCAAGGCAGACATTCTTTACTAGTTAAGCTAAACTCCCCCCCCCCCCCCCCCCGGTCTGGTTTTAAGACTTCAGGTGATATTTTTGGTTTAAGATTTAAAGATTATCTCAGATTATCCTCCATTGCTTCAGAATATCTAGATTCCATGAAAATTTGAAATTCTGTTCTGTCTTTTCTCCCTTTTGATCAGGGTTCTTCTGTAGAATCTGATCAAAATGTTCAGTAACGGTAGCCAGGCACCATCCAGTTTTGTTTCCTTTTTTTAATGAAAAGATGTTGGAGACTGAAGGGCAAATTGCCATTCACTCTTAAGCTACCTTGTTAGAAGCATTTATTTCAAAGAATGATTGTCATATTCTTTCTCATCTTATTTGGAGAGATTTACCTGAATAACATAGTTGGAGAATTTCCAAGTTATAGTTTTTACTTTGCCAGTGATTTGCAGTGTGACCTTGGACAAGTCACTTATTTTTCTCGTAAGAAAAGGACAGTTCTAACAACTTGTTAGAATTCCTGGGCTAATAGGTTGTTGAAGTGGGGCTAATAAATTTGTCTTCTTCAGTGGAACTGAGCTTATACATAGAAATCACAAAACAGAAGTAAAGATGAAGTTGGGCTTCTATAGGTACAGGTTTAACTGTCCTAGTGCTAAAGCCATAATTTTCTGATATGAGCATATATTTTTATCCTTTAAAATTACCAACATGGAAACTACCTGTCTTCAACTAATTCCGAGGTGGATTTACTGAGATTATCCTCTGTTAAATCAGATGCTGACATGTTTGGCTGCTGCTTCATTGCAGATAGACCTAAGTTTTTTTTTGGTTTTGTTTTTTAGTCCAGAACACATTTTCCTCCCAATTTGTGATTTTAAATTGGCCGTTTCAGGAACCCTGGTTAAAGTGCTCAGCTGCCAACCGAAAGGTCGGTGATTCGAACCCCCCAGCCACTCCACCACCCTGTGGGAGAAAAGACCTGGCGTTTTGCTCCCGTAAAGATTTTAGCCTTGGAAACCATATGGGGCAGTCCTGCTCTGTCCTGTAGGGTCGCTATGAGTCACAGTCGACTTGGTGGCACACAACAACAACACCAACACCAACACCAACACCAACACCAACAATGTCCTGCTTATTTCAAGCAATTATTTAGTGCCATAAAACTCCTGTACAGCAAAGACATCTGACTAGTCCCCTGAAGTTTGTTACAGTGTTTTGTAGGAGTTAGTTTAAAAAAAAATCTAGATTGAAAAGAAGAGTGGTTTTCCCTTTTATTCTACTGTTCAGAAATGCTATATCGTTATGCAAATGAGTTTTCAAAACAGCCCTCATTATGTACTTTTAGAATTTTCTAAGATACCTCCATTGTATGTGCTCAGCATTATCTAAGACTTGTTTACCGAAGATCGGTTTTCGTCTGTACGTATCATAACATGTCTCACCTACCACATTCTGATGTGTAACCAAACCAGGAGTAAGTAATTTATAGAATTGCCTTGGTGGTGTAGTTAACAAAGACTCTGTTATAAGAACCCCCCCTTTCTGCCGAAAAACATTGTAAGGACTAGAAATGTTCTTTTTTTCTTCTTTTATGTGATTGAGAGCTGAGGGTGGTGTTTTAACCATGCCCTTCACCTACAGTTTAATAGGCTTTTCTGTGTTTTATCTTTTCCTAGGTAGTTCTTTAGAGATTGAGATTGCAGAGTATGAAATGGTATCTGTCTCTAGGGAGCAGAGGTATATTCAGAAGACCATAGGTTTAAATGGAAATTATATCACTGTCAGCTATTCTTTAGAATAGTAAGGGCCTAGGACTAGAAAAGGAGCTGTAGTGGTACAGTGCTTAAGTGCTCGGCTGCTAACCAAAAGGTGGGTGGTACAAACCCACCAGCTGCTCCGCTGGAGAAAGATGTGGCAGTCTGCTTCAGTAAAGATTACAGGCTTGGAAACCCTATGGGGGCAGTTCTGTTCTGTCCTGTAGGGTCGCTATAAGTCAGAATGACTTGATCGCAATGGGTTTGGGTTTTTTTGGGTAGGACTAGAAAAGGAACCCTGGTGGTGCAGTGGTTAAAGTGCTAGGCTGAAAACCGAAAGGCCAATGGTTCAAACCCACCAGTCGCTCCACAGGAGAAAAGACCTGGCAGTCTGTTCCTGTAAAGATTTCAGCCTAGGAAACCCTTTGGGGCAGTTCTACTCTGTCATATAGGGTCGCTGTGAGTTGGAACCGACTCAGTGGCACAGAACAACAGGAGTAGAAAACATGAATATATGATGTATTTTATTAATAAATTTCAGTGAATGTTGAAAAGTAGGACTCTTTGCTGTTCATTAACTCGTGTTCAAGAATTTGATGCCCTGCTTTCATAACCATTTTTATCACCTTGTGTCTTTATATTTATTAAAAATATGGCAGTTAGTTTTTAGAAGGGAAATTTTATATGCTTTAAGGTTTGGAAATAGGTGAAATGCTAAATTTCAGAAGAAATATCGTTGTTAATATGATCTGTTGCCTGACCATTTTATTACTGCAAATATAAATAATAAATGAAAATTTGCATTTGCTTTGCTTTAGGAGGCAAAATGAGAGCCTTAAATGGTGTCTCAATTCTATTAAAAGGTGTCTTTAAGGGGGATTGTATTAATCAGTTCTTCCTGATTTTTCCAGAGTGCTTGGTATAAATGAATGGCAGAATACAGGGTTCCAGTATGATGTCATCAGCTGCTTGAATTTGCTGGACCGCTGTGATCAGCCCCTGACTTTGTTAAAAGATATCAGAAGCGTCTTGGAGCCAACTAGAGGCAGGGTCATCCTTGCCCTGGTCCTGCCCTTCCATCCCTATGTGGAAAACGGTAAGCGTGGCCAGCAGACTATTACCCTGGATAGATGTTTGTTGGTATTTATGATTTTATGCTGAGCACAATTAAACATTTTCTGAAATTTCTTAGAATAGCCTGGAATTAAAAATAATACAGTTGGCTCTTGTAAAATATGACCTAGGTTAATGTTCATTTTAATGTGGATTTTATAGAACTCTAGTACTCCTCTGGCAGTGGTAAAAATTAATACTCAGCTGAGGCTTCCTGCTTGACATTGAAAGCCTAAAATGAGTCTGTATTCTCTGATTTCAAAAAGAGCTTGAACCATTTATTTATTAGCTTGGAAGCTAAGTCAGGCAAGAAATGATGCCTTTTAATCTGCTCGTATATACTTGCTCAGTGTCATAGCTGTTTTCTCTTGCATTTTACATCTCTTGTCCCAGATTCTAAAAATGATAAATGCTGTTATCTCTTTTTCCCCCTTTGAAGACCATTTGCTTTCCAACATGTACCATTTCTTTGTGTAACATTTGATTTTTGGATTGCGTGGTCTTGCTCTTCAGCAGTGTTCAATGAAGACTATATTAGAAGAAATAGTTTGATTTCATATCACTTCATATTTCCTCTGACTTCTGGCTGTAGTCACATTAATTCATAGTTTTAGCCTGTGTGGTTTGCGTTTCAGGTCATGTTGAAAGTTATAACTCTAACCCTTGGCTTTGGATTTTCATAAGTTAAGGTACTTTAATATAAATGTTATTTATTATATAAGTAATACATGGTTATATTTTAACATCTTTATTTTTTCTATTTTACTGCCTAGTTCAGCCTTGGGTTCAAAACCTCTAAGAGCTTGCAGATGTTTTCAAGAAATCCATTAATATTTTGCAAGTGTCACAGTTATCAACTAACTGTGAAACTCTGTATTTTACGGACTAATGCTTGCCTATAACCGTGGAGTTCTGTATGGATTTGTGTTGTCAGTCCCTTGCTCCTCAATTTCTTCTCGTCCTTATTTATTTTTTTCTTCATGTCTTAGTCCCTCTGGGTTGAATGTTTGTTTTAACATTTACCGAATGGTTTTAGATTTGTGTTGATAGCGAGGAAAATGGGGAATTCTTTAGACATGGATGGTGAGAAGCGGAGAACAGATAGAACAGATATCCCCTCCCTCATCTTGCTTTTCTTCCCCATTTTTACTTCCTATTTTTGAATTATTTGTCACGGTAAAGGAAAAACTGCTGCGTCAGTGTCCATGTCATGGAATACGTGCTACACCGTGGAAAACCTAGTGAACGTCTTCCTTGATAATTCGGTGCCCCGACCTTATTTCAGTACTGTTCCCTGCGTGATTAAGCCTCAGTCCCATCTCTCCCCATTTGCAATCACTAGTCCTCAGGTTGTAAGGTCCTGCTTCCTGTGTCCTGTTGGACCACCACGTGATAGAACTTGAATGCTGCTTCCTGGCCTAGCAGTAGGTGCAAGAGCAGGGGGAAGAAACCTCCATCTGAGCATGACTTTTATTTTCTTGTGTTCCTGACCCTAAAGATTGAGAGGAAGTCAGACTGGAGAAAGGGCAGTTTCCGCTAAGGATTGAAAACAAGCTCCTTGATTGTGGACAGAGTGTTGCTTGTTGAATTGAAGGAATCTGACATGTGTCACGTTGCAAACCTGAGACAAGAAGCCTTGTTGCTGTGGGTGACCTTCAGTGACCTATCAATTTTACAGACTGCTCTGGGGCACTCTATTACTGTTCCGTTTCTCTAAGTCGCTAATTAGATCCTGATGATTTCCATGTGAAACTGTGAGAGGACTGTGAAGTGCAGAGCGATCTTGCTGTGTGAGTTCATGAATACTGGGCTGTTCTAAGGATATTTGAGTGTGCTTTGCATACTTGGCTCCATTTATTCTTAACAAAAAGCAATTGTAGGTGAATTGATTGCTTGTGTAATTTTTTTGGTCTGTCTTGAAGCTGGACCACAGCAATTTTGTTACTTAGGTTAATTTGGGGTGGAGGGGGAACAAAATGCAACATGTATCGTTCTAATTTCAGTTTGTTTAGTTAACTGACCCAATTTTGGTTAAGCGTTATTAAATCTGGTGAGAGTTGTTTCAAGCTCCAGAAAAAGGAAAAGGTATCCAATCAAGAAAAGAATTACACAGTGAAAGCTGTGAGAGCCAGAACTCGAACGGACTGCCTTGTTTTTCTTGGTCTTACAAGTTGTCCGCCTTGGACAGGGTGGAGTCTTAACCGCTTTTCTATCGTTCGCTTTAGCGGAAAATATTTGAGTTTTCCTACTCTGACAGGTTTCGGCCGTATGTAGGTTCTGGCCTTGGCAGGTTTTACTGTATTGTAGAAATGAAAGTTAAATGATGTGCTTCATTTTTCAAAATTATAATTTTTAGCAAAAACCAATTCATGTTAAAAATAGTTAAAGCAGCTTGCAAGAGGGAATGAAACATTTAAAGTTTCTTATCCACTTCAGCCCCCTAATCTTGTTGAGGTTTCTTGAATATGCTTCCAAAGGTAGTCTATGCAAATAGAAGCATGTATGTACATATTAGATCTTAAAAATGGTTTATACAAAGTGGAAGCCCATTATAAATACTTTTGTTGCCTCTTTGCACTTAAATACATCTAGGAAATTGTTCCTTATCAGTACATATATATCAGCATCATTGTATGGATATAAGCAGTGGTATGCTGGAGCTGGAGCCTTGGTGGCGCAGTGGTTAAGAGCTACAGCTGCTAACCAAAAGGTTGGCAGTTTGAATCCACCAGCCACTCCGTGGAAACCCTATGGGGCAGTTCTGCTCTGTCCTGTAGGGTCGTTATGAGTTGGAATCGACTACAACGGATTTGATTTTGGTTATTTATTATTTATTTTGTGCTGGAGCTGGATTGTACTGGCTCATGAGAGCTGATTGTTAAATTCACAGGAATTTAGTGAACTGGTTCCTAAACATAGCTATTATTAAAATTGGCCATGGTGGGAGTATTTATGTCATGGAAATTGACAAATACTACAAATAGCTGCCCCTTTCCCCAGTGGGTTGTCAAACACTTACCAGGACAGCACTGGATGTCTGGACATTTTACCTGAGGAGGCCCCTACTGTTGTACTTTTATATACCAGCAGTTTGCTTTATAAACAGTATTGAAATGAGCAATTGTGTGCAAGTCTACGTATGTATCAGGATGCCTTCTGCTTCAAGAAACAGAAGGAGCAACTAAAAGTAGCTTTTAAAAATTAAGGATTTATTTATTCAGATACAAAAAAGTGGTTCCAAAGTTAGTTAATTAATGATACAGCTGTTCCAATGAAATCAGAGCTTGCTCGCTTCTCTTTATCTTCACTTTGTCATTGTTTCCGCTCATGATTATGTGACTGATGTAGTGCCAAGCTTCATATGCAGACATGACAACATCTTGAAAAGGAAAGGAACGTTTTCTCCCATACATCCTTTTTTTATTAGTGAGGGAAACCTTTCCCAGAAATCTCCCCAGCACCCTGCACCTAGATCCCACTGGTGAGGATGGAGCATGTCCCCCTGCCTGACCAGCCCCAGCAAGGGGTACAGACCATCATGAGGCAGTCTTTAGGGAAAGGAGTCGTCTGCCCTGAGCATATTTATGCTGTGGGGCTGAGTCCACGGTGAAAGCGGAAGGAAAGTGGCTGTTGAATACTCTTCTGCCACAGAATATCTTCATTCGTTTAAAAACTGGAGATACAGTGAGCAAAAAACAGACCCCCCCCCCAAAAAAAAAAAAAAAACCTTGCCTGCATGGAGCGCACATGTTTTGGTATCAGTGTTCTGCTGGCTTTGTAAAAAACAAAAGAGGGACAGTAAACAAATGGCATGTTGATGGTGGTTAAGTGTTATGGAGAAAAACAGCAAAAGCAAGAAAGGAGCTTCTGGACTTGAGGTTGAGTTGGGACGCTGCAGTTTTAAAGAAGGTGCTCAGGGAAGGGCCTCACTGAGATGACGACATAGAGAAAATACTTGAAGAAAGTGAGGCTTAAGATGATCTGTATGATACATTTCTAAAGGTGGAACTGCTGGTTAAAGAGTAAGTTTTCCAGATAGCTAGCCTGTTTTCCTAACACCATTTATTGAATAATCTGTCTTTCCCCCAATTATTTGAAATGCCACCTTTATCATAGGCAAAAGTCCTATGTATGTTTGATTCTGTTCTGTTAGATTTATCTGTGTGTGTGCCAATACCAAATTGTTCGAATTACTGTAGCTTTATCATACATTTTAATATTATAACACTTGTTAGTTGCCGTTGAGTTGATTCCGATTCATGGTGACCCTATGTGTGCAGAGTAGAATCTGCTCATAGGGTTTTCAGGGCTGTGACCTAGTCCCCCCTTAATCACTTCAGAAGCTTTTCTGAAAAGCATCAGCTTTTCTAGTTCCCCTACATTAAAGTTTTTTAGGGAGTATTAGCCAGTTATAGCATGTGTCTTTCCATTTTTAAATTCCTTATCTTTTTTGATAATGTAACATTTTCTTTGTAAAGGTCCTGAACAATTTTTGTTAGGTTTATTCTAATGGTTTTGTGTGTGTGTGTGTGTGTGTGTGTGCGTGTGTGCGTGTGTGTGAGAGAGAGAGAAGTAATTGTAAATAGGAATTTTTCTTCCATTGTAAATAGGAATTTTTCTTCCATCATGTTTTTGAATGGTTATTATGTATACATATAAAAGCAATAGTTTTTTGGGGGGTGTGTGTACCGATTTTGTAACCATTTACCTTGTTGAATTATTTTAGTGTTTCCAGTGGTTTCTTTATCCATTCTCTTGGGTTTTCTGGATATACAGTTGAATCATCTGCAGATAGGTTTACTACTTCCTTTCCACTTTTAGACTTTTTTTTTGTCCAAGTGCATTTGTAGTTACTTCCAGAAAATGTTAAAAAGTAGTGAACATTTTTGTCTTGTTTCTGACTTCAATGAAAGTGTTTCTGCTTTAAATTAAACATGCTGTCTTTTGGCTTGAGGTGCATTTTTCTTTTAAAATCCTATTAAGAGCTTAAAAAATCAGTAATCAGTATTAAATTTTGTCAGCTGCATTTTAAACATCTTTGGAGATAGTCATTCATACTGTTTTTCTCCTCTGACTTATTAAAGTAATAGTAATTTTCTAGTTACTTGCCTTTCTGTGCTTGAGACAGCTTAGTCTTAATGCACTGCTAGGATCTGTTATAAAAATCCTAGATAAAATTATTACCATCAATATTATTGATGAATAATAATTGGTCTTTACTTGATCTTTATCATGTTTTGGTATCAATGTTCTGCTGGCTTTGTAAAAAATAATGTGGATTTTTTTTTTCTCTGTATGCCCTGGAGCAGTTTAAATAGCACTGGGGTTATTTGTTCTTTTAACTTGGGTAGAATTCTCCTGTGAAGCCATCCAGGCCTGTGCTTTTTGGAAGGTAGCTCTTTGACAACATTCTCACTTTCTTCCAGGGTCATTGGTCTGGTTGGATTAGACGTGTTTACCTTAAAGCTCCTGTCAGTCTAAATAGAAATAAGCAGGACTGTGTAGTGGAAAGAGCTTGGGCTTTGAGATCTGACCTGTGTTGGAAATATGGGTCAGCACTTGTGGCCTGGGTTAGTTGGGCCTCTCATTAATCTTAGTGTTTTAATACCTGTCTTGGCGGTTGTTGAGAGTATTAAATAATCTAATGTATAGGACAGTTCCGAATCCGTGTCTGTCTCAGTATTGGTATTTGATAAATGTTAGCTTTATTTCTTTCTTTCCTATTCTTTAACTTTGTTTTTAGGCTTCATTGATCATACTTGTTCATAGGTCTTCTGATTGAAATATTTGTCAATGTCTTTTAGATCTGCCTGAAACTCTTAACAACAATCCGAATTTGAAATCTTCATTCTGCATTTTAACTTTATCTCAAAATCTGTTCATTCTCCATCAGCTTATGTGACTTCATGCTACAGAAGCTTAACCATATGCCTCTTAGCCAGGGGTTTCAGATTCTCTCAAGTCTTACATAGTAGTGAAAAGAGAAATTACTTATCCTGAAAATCCCGTTAAGTCTTTTGGTATGTTTAAACGCGCTTGCCTGGAGGGTAATGTATGTAGATGCTAGAATCTTGTCTCTGTCCGTTTACCTCTTGTAGTGGTTTCAGCATTGTTCCCTTTTTATTTTCATGGAAAACTTAAATCTGAACAAAAGCTATAGTTTTATCTTTTCCAGTAAAAATTTCTCTGGGTACTCAGCAGGAAAATTAATACTGTTACGGATTCAACAAACAGACCTTATGGAGATGGGTGAGGGTGGATGGCTAGCCTCATTGCAAGATCTGTTAGGGAGTGATATACATCCTTCACTTCTTAGTTGAAATGCTGAGCAATACTTTTCTATAGAAATGTTGTTCATTTGCATTCCTGTAAAGCATCTGAGGGTCCACTATGTCCCAGGCAGTGCTAAGCAGTGGAAGTACAAAGATAAATGAGAAATGTGCTTCTCGTCTTAACATTCTTACAATATAGTGCAGAAGGTAGATATAAACAAATAATGGCAGAAGAGCGTGATAAGAAATATGACCAAGTAGTGTGGGTTTGCGGGGTGCTGGGGAACGTTTCACATAGGAGGTGACATTTGAGCTCGGTTTGTACTCTGTGGAGTGTTTTTTATCCGGTGGAGTGGAAAAGCATATACAAAAGCATGAAGGCGTGAACAAGGTGGGGTTAGGGTAGGGCAGGTTCAGTGTGGCCCATGGATAGGGTGCGAAAGAGACATTGAATTGTTTAATAGTTTTGCACTCAGTAAATATGGTTGGCTAGGTGGATGGATAAATGAATGAATATTATATGTGTATCAGGCACTCTTTGTATGATCTGGGAGAAAATAACTTCTTTCTTTTTGAGAAATTGCATTCCAAATGTCAGCCTAAAAATCCACCTTTGAGCTCAGCTCTTTCGTACATTGGGAAGGGCTTATTCTGAATCAAATACTAGTTTATCTCAGGGAGTTTATCTCCTGGTTAGTTACACAAAGAACAGTGTATTTTCAGCTCTGGAGTTAAGTATCAAAATGTAATGACTCCAGAAATGTGAAGTAAATGATGTAATTAAACACTTATATTCACCTGGAACCCTGGTAGCACAGTGATTAAGAGCTCGTCTGTTAACCAAAAGGTCAGCAGTTCGAAGCCATGAGCCACTCCTTGGAAACCTTATGGGGCTGTTCTACTCTGTCCTGTAGGGTCGCTGTGAGTCAGAATTGACTGGATGGCAGTGGGTTTGGTTTTGGTGGTTTTATTCACCTAGATGGAGTTAGGGCTTGCCTTTTTTTTTTTTTTTTTTGCCATCTAGTTTAGAAGTTCATTTATGTCATGCAAGCCAGTGGTCCCCAAAGTGGGTGGGGGTGGGGGGTGTACACTCCAGGGAGTACACTAGACAATTTATTTTGGGATATAGGAAGAAAATATTAGCGTTTCTATTTACATTGCTTTTTATGCCATTGTTTAATTTCTATTTTTGTATCTGAGATACATATATACACACGTACATATATACACGTACACACACATATACATATTCACATGCACATACATATTTACACATAAAATGAGGTTATGTGCTATCTCCCTTTCCACTTTTTACTAGCCTCTGTGTTCATAAAAGTTGGAGATCACTGAATTAAGTCATGAATGCAAAAAACTTTCCAAGGGATAGAAAATCTTTTAAAATTTGACCTCATTTAATAGCAGTTTGAAAGAAACACTTCAATGAAATAGACGTTATAGGTTGTAATTCATGTTTAATAGTGAATACACACTTGTAGGTACTTTAGATTTTTTACACTGAAGTAGCTTTCAAAGAGCAACCTTTATCGTGTTTTCTTAGTGAAATACTAACGAATTCCATATGTGTCCTTGCTCTACCCGACCCTTCTCGGATGTCTTCCCGCTAAATTTACCAAAAATCTGTATGGCAGAGGTGCTCATACAGTACTGTGCGTTTCACACACGCCTTCCTAGTGCTGTTATTTGGCACAACACTGACACCTAGAGTCAGCCGTGGCTTATTTCTTCCGAGGCTTTCTCTGTTTAACCTTCAGTCAAGGTCTGCTTTGGATTTTCTGTATTTTCGCTATTGTATTCTCACTCTGTTCTCTATTTTGTTATAGTCTCACTCTTTGCTGGTAGCATGATGTGAGTTATTTTGCATACCTTGGCAAGAAATGTGCACTGTACTGTTGCCCCATTGCAATATCAGAGGAAATAATTTTCGCCCTGATTTAATTTTGCCCCTTAAGTCAGTCCTTGCTCCATCCCTTCCTCCCATCTCCCTCCCTCCTTCCTCTTCTCTTTCCTTCCCTTCCTTCCGTCCTTCTACTCAGCTGAGTCCAATTGTCCCTCTACTTCCACAGCCCATAAAGACAATTCTTCCACTCAGGATTGAGGCACGTGTTGTGACTTTGAATCTTCTTCAGGATAATGGTTATCACATGCCTCATATGTTGAAAAACATAGGATATGTTATAAAAATTGAAGTTTTTGAAGATGTTAGGCTGAGATTTTTTCCTAGTAAATTGTGAAAGTATTTTTCAGTTGTATTTTGTTGAGTTTTAATATTTTTTGATAGTTGCTATTAGTCATAGTTTTCTTATACTCTGGCATTCTTTTTGCAGCCAGTTGTCCAAAACCCCGATTGTTGTATGTTCATTAACACCGCCATAGCTTCCGGAGTTGGATTTTCAGTGGCTTAATTAAAAATTAAAACATTTCTATAGTCTTTGCTGATTGTAAAGTGCTCTTCTGTTTTCATAACTGTTTCTGTCTTTCTCCTGCAAGGGTAAATACAGGCCGTGTTTAAGGCGATGTAACCACATGACACCGTGCTCCAAGCAACATGTAAACAACCAAGTTGTCCTGCATTCTGAGTCCTAATTACCCTTCCAGTAGTCTTAATGACCAGGTTATTGCTTTCGCTATATTTAGAATGTGAAACTCAAAAAATAATTTTCTTGTTCCAATGTCATTGTCAAAGCCCTGGCTTAGAAATTTACAGTTCTACTTCTAGGCCTGTCTTTAGGCCACTTGCCTTTGCCTCTTTGCTGAAAAAGATGCCCCAGCCTCAATTAGACAAAAGTATAAACTGGCATTGATAACAATACAGGATGGCATCTTATGTGATTAGACCATTTTCTTTGTATTTGTATATACATTAGAGGATAAAGTGACTACTTGGACAGTATTACTCTCCTGGGTAAAAATTTTTTTTTAAGTTGGATTAAAAAAAAATCTCATGTAAGAATTCTGTTGCATTTCCCCTCTTAGCGGCTTTTCAGAGGAAAATATATTCACTAGCACATAAGTTCGTTATTTTGTGTATGTTTGAATTTAAATCTGAGCAATCTGATCATGCATAATGGAAACAGACTATCTGTTGTACTACCTTTAAAACACTATCTAGTTTGAAAGACCTGTTTATATAGGACTTTAAAGGAACACTGACAGAATGTATTATAGATTATGCAAATATTTATGCGAATATTACTGCATATTTTATAAAATTTTCATCTTAAAAACAATTGTAAATACTTCTTTCTATCACTTCAATCCCAGACACTGAAGGAGTACTCATTTCCTATTTTCATTAGCTGGGTCTTCTCTTTTTAAAAAATTTTTTTTATTGTACTTTAGATGAAGATTTACAGAACAAGTAGTTTCTCATTAAACACTACACATACTGTTTTATGACATTGGTTAACAACCCCACAACATGTCAACATTCTCCCTTCTCGACCTTGGGTTCCCTATTACCAGCTTTCCTGTCCACTTCTGCCTTCCAGTCCTGGCCCCTGGGCTGGTGTGTCCCTTTAGTCTTGTTTTGTTTTATGGTCCTATCTAATCTTTGGATGAAGGGTGAACCTCAGGACTTCATTAATGAGTTAAAAGGGTGTCTGGGGGCCATACTCCCGGGGTTTCTCCAGTCTCTGTCAGGCCAGTAAGTCTGGTCTTTTTTTTGTGAGTTAGAATTTTGTTCTACGTTTTTCTCCAGCTCTGTTCGGGACCGTATGTTGTGATCCCTGTCAGAGCAGTCAGTGGTGGTAGCCGGGCACCATCTAGTTGTACTGGACTTAGTCTGGTGGAGGCCTTGGTAGTTTTGGTTCATTAGTCCTAGTTGGGTCTTTTCTAGTGTGAATTATTTTTCCCTGATTGGAAACAAGCACCTTTTCTAATTTTATCCACAAATGTTTGTGACATCTACTGAATGCCTACTACTGCATGCAAAACACTCCACAAGTAGCTTTTAATCCACAAAAGTATCCTCGTCTATATTGAAAACATGGCCTGTGTCTAGTCTGTTTCTGAGAGGTTTCTGTATCACTGTGTTTTTTAGTCAAATATTCTTTGTATCTGCATTGCATCATTTTGATGCTTTACACTTACAGGCTGTTGACTCGTTTCCACGTATCTCTTACGGTATAGTTCTTGAGCAATGTCCTGAAAAATCTGCCGAGCGCTCTTCTATAAATCAAAATGAGAAAAACAATCTCTCTTTTAGGACTAGAGGTGATGATCGTTCCACATTATTGGAGCTTGTTCTTTCTTTACTGCCACCAGCCTCCGAAGCTAATCTCCCCCACCCTCCCCACACCTGCACCTACAGTTAAGGCTTGTCTTTTTTGAGCAGTACATTCAGTAGAATTTACGGTTGAGAACTGTTAAATTTAAATCACAGTTTACCACTTGGAGGTTCCACTGAGTTTTTGAACAGTAGGAAACATTACTGTCTATGGTTGAAAGTTACCATGATGTTCTCTCTGTGTTTCTTAAAGTATTTCTGCTTTGAAATCGTTGCAGAAGCCATAATTTTAAAGCAGTTTACAGGTATCAGTCTGTACCTTTCGTGAGTCTTCTTCTGTTTCTTTGTTCCTTAGATTGTTGGATTCTGACTGCCAAGAAGAGAATAGTTTTGTAACAACGTTTTATGCACCCAAAACAATTGTGGCAGATATGTTACACCATAATAAGATTAAACTAAATATTTAAATGATATACAGTAAGAATTAATTTTCATATCGTTTCTGAGATGCTTTTATTCCATTAATAAAATAATTTAACAACCAAACTGATGTTGATTGTAAGATCCATAGTAATCCTAATAGAACGTTTGCATATCCTCTCGTAAAGAATATGCAGAGCCAGAAGATAGTCTTTCTCAATAACTTTAGGCCTTTTTGAATATTTGAAGGTAGTTTTTAGTCTCTTTGTCAAACCCTTTTTTGCTATCAAAGACTATTCTTAGGGCTCTCATATAGTAACACATATTTCCTCCCAACCCCCAGCAGAAAGAGAGCACGTAATACAGTTATTTAAAAAAAAAAGTCTCTTGTTCTTATGTTACTGGGCTTGGCTTTAAAGAGGAAGCACGGCGGATCTTGTGTTCTGCTTAATAAATTACTTTTGTCATTAAAAAGTATGCTATCTTCTGCAGCTCTCTTCTGCAGGTGGTGTCCCTTTAAATGCAAAGGAAGATGCTAATCAGCTTTTTTATGAGGCTCACAATGTGTGGAGAGAGAGAAATTATTTCCTTATAATATTCAAGGCTATAGGCCATGCAATGCAAGAGTATTTGACTTACTTGGGAGAGGATGATGAAGATCACACCCACACCAGTGACATAGATGCAGAGCAGCGGTAAGAGCACTATCAGGGTGTTCCGTAGCCCCTTACTGAGAAGCTTAGTTTCTTTATTAATTACAAAAACAGAAAGAGCCATAGTCACTATTGAAACATATTCTTGCAAATATATATGTAAAGTACAATTAGAGCTACATGTTGGAGGTGAAACACGATCTTACTGGCCTATTCATGTAGCCAGTATCTTGATTCAAAAGACCCTCAAGTATATCATCGTTAAAACCTGTTCATCAGCTCTTGAAATGTATTATACCAAAAATGTGACTCAAGTTTTTAAGAATTCAATGAACCATTTGTCAGAATGCTGAGAATCACTGTTTTTATGGAGAGTATTACTTAAGGTTAGAGAAACATTTTAAGACAGTTGTTCAAGGGCATTTAACATTTCTTTCGATAGAAATGGTGTGCAAGTGTCACCAAGAGGCTGTTTCTGGAGTTAAGATCTTTCCACATGTATTTATTAACAGAATGCTGACACTTGTACCCTTGGAAGTGTGTAGCCTACACAGCTGGATAGGGTCACAGTGCTCATGGCACACGTAAAAGACAGGGCATTGTTACAAGTGTACATTCTTCTTTACAGTAAAGTTCTGGAAACAGAATGTTCAAATCCATTTTTACATTCTGAATTTCTCCCTCCTTGCAGGAAGTGCCCTGTGATCTGGGTCACGATTAATTAACATTCCATGCCTTCAAGTACCCGATTATTTGAAGCATACAATACAATTAGATTTATGATTATTGCATGAATAATCTGTACTTTTCAACAAAATATCCCGGAGGTGCTTATCCTGTGAACTCAGTTTTATGTTGTGAAACTAGCAAATTAGCCATATCTATAAAACTTTTGGAAACCCTGGTGGCGTAGTGGTTAAGAGCTACAGCTGCTAACCCAGAGTTTGGCAGTTTGAATCCACTGGGCGCTCGTTGGACTTGGTGCTGAATTAGGAGCTCTGTAGAAGAGCAGGAAATTGTCATGCCTGTCTTAGAAGTACTTTAATTTCTGCTCCTAAAGAGGGATCCCTTTTTTATATAAGTCTGCAATTTTGAGATTATCCATCTCTTTAAAAGCCATTTTTCTTCTCGCTAACTTTTTTTTTTTTAACAAAAGACTAATGCAGTGAAACATAGAAATGTGCAAAGTTGTGTGTTTGTTATAATGCCAGTAACTTTAACCTTAACCAGTTGCCGTTGAGTCGGCCTTGACTTATGATGACCCCATGTGTGTCAGAGTAGGGTTTTCAATGGCTGTGACCTTTCAGAAGTAGATCATCAGTCAGGCTTTTCTTCCGAGGTTCCTCTGGGTAGATTCACACCTCCAACCTCTTGGTTAGTAGCCGAGCAGTTAACCATTTACACCACCCAGGGACTCCAGGCACTGTTAAAAGTATTTTATGTGTATAACTCATTTATAATTTATCTTACAGATTAGAGGAAACTAACTAAGACAGGTTAAATGACATTCAAATATCAAAAGCCCACCCCTAATAATTAAAAGAACAACACTAATAATTAAAAGCAGGGACTATAATACAAGATGATCTTGTATATCCCCAAAGTCCTATTTTAAAACCAAAGGGCTGGGTTTGATTTTGAGTTCATGATTTAATGATCTCAGTGCTCATCATTACCAGAGTCCTGTTTAAGGAAAGAGATCCACATAAAGCAAGGGGCTCCTACCCTTCTCTTCCTCCCCCTAGAATTATGTAAGAAGCTTTTCCTCTAAAATTTCTTCGTCTCATACTATTCTTACCCCAACAAGACTAGCATTAATCCAAAAAACACCAAATAATAAAAGTTGGAGAGGTTGTGGAGAGGCTGGAACACTTATACAATTGTTGGTGGGAGTGTAAAATGGTATAGCCACTTTGGAAATCAATTTGGTGCTTCCTTAAAAAGCTAGAAATAGAGGTACCATACGATCCAGCAATCCTAACTCCTTGGAATATATCCTAGAGAAATAAGAGCCGTCACATGAATAGATATATGCATACCCATGTTCATTGCAGCACTGTTCACAATAGTAAAAAGATGGAAACAACCTAGGTGCCCATCAGCGGACGAATGGATAAACAAATTATGGTGTATTCACACAGTGGAATACTATGCAATGATAAAGAACAATGATGAATCCTTGAAACATAACATGGAGGAATCTGGAAGGCATTATGCTGAGTGAATTTAGTTAGTCGCAAAAGAACAAATATTGTATAAGACCACTATTATAAGAACTCAGAAAAAGGTTTAAACACAGAAGAAAACATTCTTTGATGGTTACGAGGGTGGGGAGGGAGAGGGGGTATTCACTAGGTAGATAGTAGACAAGAATTATCTTAGGTGAAGGGAAGGACAACACACTACAAGGGAGGTCAGCACAACTGGGCTAAACCAAAGCTAAGAAGTTTCCTGAATACAGCCAAATACTTCCAAGGACAGAGCAGCAGGGGCAGGGGTTTGGGGACCATGGATTCAGGGGACACCTAGGTCAACTGGCTTAAGAAAGTTTATTAAGAAAATGTTCTGCATCCCACTTTGGTGAGTGGCGTCTGGGGTCTTAAAAGCTAGCGAGCGGCCATCTCTAAGATGCATCAGTTGGTCCCAGCCTACCTTGGAACAAAGGAGAAGAACACCAAAGACACAAGGAAAATGTTAGCCCAAGAGACAGAAAGGGCCACATAAACCAGAGACTTCATCAGCCTAAGACCAGAAGAACTAGATGGTGCCCAGCTACCACCAATGACCACCCTGACAGGGAACACAATAGAGAGTCCCTGATGGAGCAGGAGAAAAGTGGGGTGCAGAACTCAAATTCTAGTAAAAAGACCAGACTTAATGTTTTGATTGAGGCTGGAGGGACCCTGGAAAACATGGCTCCTGGACCCTCTGTTAGCCCAAAACTAAAACCATTCCTGAGGCCAACTCTTCAGACAAAGGTTAGACTGAACTATGGAACATAAAATGATACTCACAAAGAGTGCGCTTCTTAGCTCAGGTAGATACATGAGACTAAATGGGCAGCTCCTGTCCAGAGGTGAGATGAGAAGGCAGAGAGGGTCAGGCGCTGGTTGAATGGACACGGAAAATCCAGGGTGGAAAGGAGTGTGCTGTCACATTACAGGGAGAGCAACTAGGGTCCCATAACAATGTATGTATAAATTTTTGTGTGAGAGACTAACTTGAATTGTAAACTTTCACTTAAAGCACAACAATTTAAAAAAAAAAAGGTAAAAAAAAATTTCTTCATCTCAGACTATGCAGGGGAATGAGTTGGGAGATGACTGGTGGGACTAAACTAGAATCTTCTCCGCAGCCTTTTAACGTCCTCACTGGAGAAAGGGCATAGTCTTGGGTTTTAGCAAATCCTAGGAAGCCAGAGCCACATCGGCCCTTTTTTGTTCCCTGCCATCCAGACAGAACGGCGAGGGTCAAAGGTCCTCCAATGACTTCTCCCCAAGCTTGTGTTTATTCTCCATAATGCATCCTTTTCTGGGTCCAGTTCACTGGTTACTTCTCCAGTCTGTCATTCTAGGGAATACAGTGCCAGCCCAGTTCCTGAGAAAGTGGGTAGTTAATCATCCCAAGTTTCCCTTTGGACTTGATACATTCATTACACCACATCACTGACATACAGAAAGGAGGATCATAGCCTTCACTAGTAAAGTCTGGACGTCGAGAGAGAATATAGCACGCAACATAACACTGACTTTGTGTCTGAGGAGAGAGAAGGTGGGGGTGGAGTGGGGAAATGGAGTCGGAATAGTTGCTTAATCCAGACCTCAGGTAGACGTGTTCTCAGGTCATGCCCTTCACTGACTAGGGTATTAAGTCAGCAAATTTATCTAATAATTTCTGCATGTAAGTGATGTAATGAATATTAAAGGTCTGAGCAAAATGGGATGTACTGAAATAAAGCATTAACAGACTGACCTCTCACCACCAACGTGGTACCTCCTCCGGTTTGCTTAGCTTTGGGTTTCACTGAACTTGGAAATGCTATTCCACAGATGTAAATTGCACTGTCATTTAAAGACACCCTGTTCACAGTGATGGAAACTTGGTTCTGTGCCGGGGACTCTCTCACTGTGAACTTGTCAGCCTCACTGTGGCATCCACGTGAGCATAGGTTCTCCGACTGGTGAGCGCCATAGCGGAACCACAGACTAATCGGTGGCTTTGTAGAGCATCCGACGGGGGAGAAGGTGCACTCGATGGTAACGGCCTTGTGAGTGTAGTCCACTTCGAGGTGAGACGGTTGTGTGACAGAGACAGTACAGGTGCCCACAGCACCTGTGGGAGGAAGCAGATGAGCGCTGTTTAGCTGGCTTCACACCTCACTCTGCCTATGCTTCTGTCCTACCTACATTTTTGGGGTGGGGATCTCAGCCATTCCTTTCTTTTTTTCTTAGCTAACTTCCAGCACTAACAAGGACTTTAAAACTAGACACCAGCCATCATGTTTCTTGATCTTAGCCTACTGGTTTGCAGTGCTGTCTGGTGACTAGGTGGGTCCAGTGGGAGCAGATCTGGAGTCAGAAGTTTGGGGCCCTGTATGCATTCTGGCTACCTACAAGCTTTCCTTTGATCTTGTGCGAGTCTCTTAATCTCTCAGAGCCAATGTCCTCATCTGTACTCCTTGCCTCACTGGAGCGTTGTATTCAGTGTGATGGTATGTATCAAAGATCCTGATGCAAATGTTGATGTAGAGCACATGAGCTGTAGGGATTTTTTGCCCTGTGGGGATTGGGATCACCAGGAAGTCATGGCAATTCACAGTTGGTCTTTTGTGAGCCTGGTGTCTCTACGGGAAACCTGAGGCGAGACGTGCACCTGTGGAAATGCAGTCCTGGCTTAGCCTACCACGGCTTTGATTACTGATCAGTGGCCTAAGGAACTGGCCACGCCATGCTAAGCAAATTTTATTTCTGTCTGGCACTTGTACAGTGCTTTGCATTCCCTTGTAGCTTTTATCTTATTTGATTTAACAGTATTGTTAAAGAGCACAAACTTGAGTTTGAATCCTAGCCCTGCCAGTTCCTAGCTCTATGATCTTAACCTCTTTGTCTCACTTTCCTCATTAGCAAAATGCAGATAGTATTATCCACATCAAGGTCTCTGGGTGGCAAAAACGGTTTGCACTAAGCTTTTAATCTAAGGGTTGATGGTTCAAACCTACCCAGTGGCACTGTGGGAGAAAGGCCTGGCGATCTGCTTCTGTAAAGATTATAGCCAAAAAAACCCTATGGAGCAATTCTGCTCTGTAACACATGGGACTATGAGTCAGAACTGACTTGACGGCAGTGGGTTTGGTCTTAGGTTACGCCATAGTAAGCCTGACCACCATTACTGAGCATTTGAATCAAAGATTCTATAGAAGAATCCTGATCAAAAGGGGAGAAACGTAGAGCAGAATTTCAAATTCTCATGGACTCTAGACTTTCTGGAGCCATGGAGGGTGGATGAACCCCTGAAACTATTGCCCTGAGATAATCTTGAAACTTTAAATGAAAAGTATCCAATGAAATCTTAAAACCAAACAATAGTTTAACTTAACTAGTAAAAAAGGTCTGCCTTGAGCATTATGCTCTTTTAAGAACTATCTGTAAGGGATTAAATTGACAATAGCACTTCAATTAGATAGAACCTTAGGGGGCAGTGAGTTTATTTTAATGAGAGAAGGAACAACTCAGAAAAGGAGGATGAGACTGGTTTCACAACTTGAAGAATATAATCAATGGCACTAAATTGTACATGTAAAAGTAGTTGAATTGGTGTATGTTTTGCTGTGTATATTCTCAACAACAACAACAAATAAAATTAAAAAAAAAGTAGAGGTTTCTTCTGCTGGTGCTGCCACCACTCTGGTTCCCAGTGGCGTATGCTCATGTTAGAGGTAATTGCTGACCTCCCTCAGCAAGGTGGTTTAGCAGAGTCGGGACTAGACGCCTCATCCAGGGCCCTTGCACCCTGCCATGCGGCTTCCCAAGTTACGGAGGTTGGGTTCACCACCTTAGCCCTCTAATCCTAGACCTGTGAAGCTGGAAAGCCATTCAGGTGTTTATTAATGGGAAGACTTGCCTCTTTCATGACATAGTAATGATCACGATCTGTGGGAACATTTGAAATGGAATCGGTTCTGCCAAAACGTCAAAGTTAATAAGCAGTGTCTGCATCACAAATCCTCTTTTGGATAAAAATCTTAAAAGGGAAGCTGACTTTTAACACTTTCTTTTGAGAAGTAAGAGCACGGGGTAAAAGAAATATTTGCAACTTTGGAGTTTCATATCTCTACTTATTTGCAACTTCTGCATACTTAGTCTGAATGTGGGAGAAAACCATCTGGGAGGGTTGCCTAGGAAACGGCTTGTGCCTGGCCCACACTGGTTAAGCAAGACATCAGCAAAATGGAGAAGTTTGGATAATGTGTTATACCAAAGCCTACTCTCACAAAGAATTTTCTCTTAGGAGGTCTCATGGGATTTTTTTTTTTTTT